GACCCAATCACTGCTGCCTAAGGAGCGCATTTAGCGAATAAGGAGGCCCAGTAGGCGGATGTGCTTCAAAACGAAATTTGCGGGGAGACAATGAGCATTACTTTTCTTCTCGCATACATTTTGCTTTGTATATTGCGTTTTCTGATGAACTACTTTTTCCCGACTTGTCAGTTGCTTGATCCGTTTTTAGTTCAACTTGATGGGAAAGATTCTGATATTCCTTAGGTGCACGAGAGAAATATCCTCTCGCCTTGTCGGCATATAATCCCGTTGTCTTAACTAAGCTGATTACACTAACCTCAGTAAAACAAGTAAATATTTACTACGCAGTATAATATAAACATCAGGAACCATTACCAACCTGTCCAAACCTTGCCGTGAAGTAAAAAACTTTTTTTTTGTATTTAAAGCGTAGAAATCTAATTAGTGTACCTTTCTATCTGTATTAAAATTTACGGCCCAGACCGTATTTCATAACAATAAGTATAGTATAGTCGCGAAGATAGTCAGGATACGCGCATCGTATTACGTTACAATTACTCCTTCCGACACATTGCTTACTCATGTTTCCATTACGTCCAACCACAACCAGCGCTACCATGCGATGAAGCCAATTAAGCAGTGTCAAAATTGCGTCGTCACAGTGCCCGTCGTCTTTGTGCGCTTCCTATCCCAGCTAAACCAAGTACGCAAAAAAAAGTCCTATTTTTCGCCCGCAATGTACGCAGAAACGGAAAAAATATTGTTGTGGCACGGTCGCGCAATGCGGGTGGAATGGTGGCGTCGCGGAACTGGTAACGGAGGTGCGACGTGGTTAGTTCTCATAGCCGTTGTAGTTGGCGTCGGGGATGACACTGACGACTGCCACCAGTGATCCGTGAAGCAAGTTTGTAAGCGCGGTGGAAGTTTCTTAAACCATCGAACATTACGCGTAGCAACTGGACACTGCGAAAGTGGGATTTCGCGTAACACGAGTAATTCTTGAAAACGAGTCTTTCAAGCAGACGACACGATGATTCTCCCTTCGACGCGCAATCTATGACGGGACGCCAGGTCTGCCCCGTCCGCTCGCTTTGCGTGGCACAGCGGACAGGAAAGTCCCGAATTTCCTCTCGTCGCGGCAAGAAGGAAGACAACAAAAAGTCGGGGCTCCAATCCACACTGTGAAGGTGGTTAGCCAGCGAAGCTGTAATGTCACCTGCACCGATCGCCCACTGCACGATACCAAATGAGTGACGGAAGAAAAGTAAATTCACTGCGCTAAAACGTGTTATATATGAGAGGCTAGTGACGTCAGTCCCCACGTCAGTTTGCGCAGCAGTAATTTGTACCGTGAAACATATGCGGTGAGCGCTACGTGCTTTGCACTGTTATCAAGAGAGCCTCATTATTAATTATCTGGTTTCGATGTTTCTTTTCTGCTTGATCTTTATTCAAACGAATGCTGTGCTCTATGTTCTATGAGTAATATGCACTCTTCGCTTCAATCACTGAAGGATTTTTTTCCCTTGGGGACGTTGACACGGATAAATCCGACGAACGAGTCATATGCAGCTTCGCTGTAAAACGAGTCAATCCATTCTTCGCGCGCATGGCGACGAAAACGGACGACCACGAAGTCACTGCAAATGCTGCCAATAATAAAAAAGTGCAGAATCACGCAAAATTTTCTGCGTGTGATCGGTTTAGACGGTGTTCAAAGAGTGCACAAAGGTGACAAGCTCCATGATGATACACGGTTTTGGCGCTGGTTGATTGTAGCTCCATCCGATCGCATGGTTGGCTGCGGTCGGGCTTAATGTGAAATAGAATCGAGCGCTGTACTACTAACATATCTAGACAGGTCATCATTAAACCATTTCAGTCTCGGTGGTTCCGCAGCCGCGCTTCCGCTTCGTCCTAGCTGACATCGATAACGCCAGCGAGGAAGGACAGCATCGTGGGCTTTATTGAGATCTTTACGATAAATATGTTTTCTGGTTGAACAAAGCAAAGGACAGAGACCTCATTAGGCTAGCTCAGCATTCCCGCTCAACCAACTATACGCCTAGCAGGCTCGATTGACCCCATATTTTCCGGTTTACTACTTCGTGCACCAATTACCGTCTCTAACTAACTGCCTTTATTACCCGTATAAAAGCCTCAATTGCGTCGGTGTGAAATTCTCTGCGTGGCACACTTCGGTGAACATAATGAATAAAAGTACAAACACCATAATGACACGGAGATCGTAAACGAAGCAGGAAAAGAGGAGTGCTCTCTTCTGTGTTTTTTTTTTTTTTTTTGTCCTTGCGCTGTTTGAACCTTTAACAATGACCCAATTATCGCAATCGTTTATGAACATCATGAACGTTTAATATATTATGTTATATATCTATGAGAAATTTCCGAACATGATTATCTAGAAATGCTTGGTAATGTGGGGAATATGTTTTCCTTACAAGGAACATGGAGTTTCAACACAAACTTCTAAAATATTATTGCTGCTGATGGTGCTGTAATTTGATTAGTCTTTGCGTGTTTATTGCGGCGCATCTGATGAGTCCAGAACTGCAGAGCAAAACGTGATCATTTATGTCTCTTGGAGCAAACAGAATATTATCTTTCCGTCTAGAAATTTGGTCATAGTGAAGCAGAGGCCGTCATCACAAACAAGCTCATCATTCCAGGATATCTTAGACATGAACATATAAATCAACAGAGCTTTTCGAGACAATTCAGTACGAGTCATTTAACTAAAGCAAAAAACGAGTACTTTGTGATCTCTCATTAGATTTTGGTTTTTCAGTTCGTCACCTTTTACTCGTTTTTTTTTTTTTTTAATTTCGAAAGATAATATCGTAGTTTTGATTGTTCCCATAATCTACTGAAGATAACACCTTTTGGCGGGCTAGTTGGTTCATGATTTGTAAAACAAATGAACTAAAACTGAATGAACTGAATGAAATGATTGCATGCATAAGCATGCAATCTGTATCACTATCGGACAAGGAATTTTCTTTTATAGATGGTCATGTTTAAACCTTATTTCGCCGCAAACTGATTGCTGCTGTTATATATACTGTTGTGTCTGCGCCAAATAAACAGTTGGAAGTCGGCGCTCCGTGTGTCGTACTCGTTTCTATCTCTGTCCTCGTCCTTTGCGCAGTTCATTTATTTCTACAAATACTGAAAATATTTGTAGTCATATGGTAATTTTATTATATATATATTGTTAAGAAGATTGACGTTCATACTTCGTCATCGTCTTCATTCACAACCACCGTGATCGTCATCTATTCACGCGGCGCACGCTGGCCAAATCAGTTGGAACCTAGTCCTCAACCCACTCGGTTATTCATTAAAAGCAACCTTCCATTATCCATCTAAGAAGTGGTGGAGTAGAGCCAACAGGCTTTCCTTCTTTGATACCTCGAGGTTAGCATCGAGCGAGTCAGCGAGGAGAGGGTGAAGGTACTGACCAGGAGATCGGCACGTGATTTGAGTGGGGTTAGGGCTCGGCGTATCGAGGGACATAAGCTCACATTCGTCATATACTGAGACTATTCCTAGGGTGGAGCCTTGAGGGAGAAACAAAGAGGTAGAAGATGGCTTAGTCCCAACAAGAGAAGCAAACCCGTTGACGAACGTCGTTACACAATGCGGTACCACGATACCACTTTTGAGAAAGTTTGCTTGCGACGGACTAATGAGGGCAGTACAATTAACACAGTCGGGAGATGTGACACTCATTATGACGGAGGAGCATGGGGGGATTACGGTATCCTCAAAAAGGGAGAGTTTTGCATCTGGAGGGAGCTCACAAACATCGGATGGACCTACTTCCGATAGTTCAACCTCGCCATACGAGCAATCTATACACGCATCAGCAAGGGTCAAAAAATCCCATCCAAGTATAATTTCGTGTGAACAGGAAGGAAGCACGACGAGTTCAACCACATGAATTATCTGATCTATACAAATACGCGCAGTACATTTTGCCGTCGGAATTAAATTCTGCTTACCAGCTGTAAGAAGGATATATCCCGAAAATGGTGTTGTCACTTTCCGTAGCCGTCGACAGAGATCAGACCGTACTACTCAAACTGCAGCTCCTGTGTCTACCAACGCCTTGACCGATATACCTTCCACATTAACATCAATCAGATTTCGCGGGTTATGAGGGCTTCCGAGATGTGATGCAGCTGCAACTCTTGCCTCATGAGTTGCAGTTAGCAGTTTCCCCCATGCGTGGGATTGCTGCCGCGAGAGATCATGGGAGATGGAGATCGACGGCGCGGTGATGGGGAGCGGCTTGTCATCCTGGGACGATCGTTTCTTTCGTGTCGAGGGGCGGACATCTCGTAGTTGTCGCGACGTTCGGGTTCCATCGAAGGGTATCGGCCGTTGTAGGGTTCTTCATATCTTGTTGAGTTCACGTGCAAAGGACGGTATCCTGGAGAATGGCGGCGGCAATATCGGGCGATATGTCCAGCAATGCCACAGTTGAAGCAAATCGGACGACCGTCCTGAGCCCTCCAGTACCCTGGCTGGGCGCTGACTGGAGGCTGAAGTGAGGCACGCGGAGAGGGAACCTGCGGGGACAGCAGTACTGGTCGCGCAACAACTTCGGCGTATGTGGGTGTTATCGGAGGGGGAGGGGGACGTGGTACAGGCCCCAAGGCGGCGACGACTTCTTCTTGGATCAGACTGCGGATGCCCGGTGGCGCGACCGGAGGGGATGGTACGTGGGGTACACGGGCGGATGTGCTCGTGCCCAGAATTCGCGTGACTTCTTCGCGAACGGCCTCGCGGATAAAACTGCGAAGGCTTTCGCTGGAAAACGGCGGATCATCTGGTGCTTGAGCAAGGCTCGCGATTGTGTGAACTGCGGTAGTTGAGCGCGGGACAGTCAGGCGTTGTTGGCGAGTTCCTTGATAATTCTGACATGCCTAGACAAGCTTGCTCACCGTGAGGTCGCTTTGGGTGGCGAGGAGTTGGAATGCATCCTCAGCAATTCCCTTCAAGATATGGTTTACTTTTTGTTTTTCGGTCATGTCCGGGTTGGATCGTCGGCAGAGCTGGAGAACTTCTTCGATGTATGCCGTGAAGGTTTCTTCTGGTTGCTGGACCCGGATGTTGAGTTTTCTTTCGGCGGTGAGCTTTCGAACGGCTGGTCTTCCAAATACCTCTTTGATTTTTGCCGTAAACTCCTCCCAGGTGGTGAGCACGGCCTCGTGGTTCTTGAACCAGAGGTTAGCAACGTCCGAAAGGTAGAAGACAGCGTTGTTTAACTTGGTAGCTGGATCCCATTTGTTGTGTCGACTGGCTCGGTCGTAGGAGTCTAACCAGTCCTCTACGTCATCGTCGCCCGCACCAGAGAACCATTTCGGGTCGCGTTGCCGGAGTGCTCCAGCGCAGACGATAGTTGGGGGGGTGTCGGGTGGTTGGTCGGAGGCGGAATTGCCGACGGTGGTCGTTGAACCGGTCGCCATGGTAGTGGTTAGGACGCGGTTGCGGAGTTCCAGGGTGGTATCTGGCTACCGGAGCCGAAGATGCTTGAGGACGTGGAAAGCCCGCACCTCCACCACTTCTTAGATGGATAATAGAAGGTTGCTTTTAATGAATAACCGAGTGGGTTGAGGACTAGGTTCCAACTGATTCGGCCAGCGTGCGCCGCGTGAGTCGATGACGATAACGGTGGTTGTGAATGAAGACGATAACGAAGTATGAACGTCAATCTTCTTAACAATATATATATATATATATATATCAGTGTGTCGAACCAAAAAAAATACGGGTTCGGTTACGGTTCAGGTTCAGGTAAATTTATTTTGTTCCGGTTCAGTTCCGGTTCGATTAATTCGATCCGCGAACCGGTTCGCAAACCGGTTCGGGGCGCTGAACCGGTTCGCGAACCGGTTCGGAAATTATAAATGACAAATTGCAACATCAAAATAAATTACAAATAAAACATCTGAAATCAGCATATACGAAACGGGATACATCGTAGTGTAAGGCTCAGGGATTTCTACCAGGAATAGTTTCTTTATGTGCACTGAAAGGTTACCTCACCGACGTTTACGCATTCGGACTTCATCTAATTGGGTCCAACGCAGTAGCTGTAAAATCCGCGACCTCCTTACAAACCCACTTACAAGTAGAGCTCGCTAACTATCCCGCCACCTCGGCGTGTAAGCAATTGAAGGAACAGTGGGGAGAAAATACAGCTTTCTTTATTTGAACTAGCCCTCGGTAACTCAAATTAGACCCTTAAAGAAGTTTTCATTAAACAAGATACGGAATATGAAAAACACTTCACCGAACGCAACGCCAGAAGGACGTAATAGGATAAATATTAAAATAGAAAAGTTCGCTGTCTCACAAATATGTTAGCTTCTAAGTGCCTATACGAAACCGGATGCATTATTATAAAACTCCACAGCCTTTTCTTTTCTCATTCCGATGGAAGCAAGCTTCAAGAACTCGCGCGTTCTAGAAACGTGTTATGAAATGAGCACACAGCAGCATTTAGGATTTACGAGACTAGGAAAATAAAATCCCGTGACTCGATTTTTTTTCTTTTTGCACAGCCTTCCAATTCTTTTTCTTCTGTGCAAGCCGCGACCAGCGCAATACTGGTCCCTATGTCAAGATTCATGGACGCAGCGTTTGTAAAGATTCATGGATGCAGCGTTTATATTCCTAAGACTGAGTGGAGAAGAAAAATATGTAAGCGAGGTGTGTGTCAGTTGACGGCACTTAAAAAACAAATGGCATTGATAGCACATTCATTGTCAACAGCGCGTGGCCGAACCGTTTTGACATGAGCCGGTAACCGTTATTTTTTTTCCGGTTCAGTTCCGGTTCGGGTTCATCGCGATAACAATATAAAGGTTCGGGTTCGGGTTCAGTTCCGGAAAAAATACCGGTTCGGTTCCGGTTTTTGGTTTAGTTTGGTTCCGGTTCGACACCCTGATACATATATATATATATATATATGCACATACATACAAGAAATCACTTTTGTGTTTGCGGGGTTAAGCGATAATAGATTTTTTACAACATTGCACATTGTTTGACTCGTCATTTTGTAAGATATCGCAATCTTGAAGTATATAAATGATTTTCAACAACTGAATGTCAACAGCGAAAAGTAATAGCTCAGACGTATCGACGCAAGACACAATATTATTTATAAAAATCGGGAACAACAAAGGGCCCAGGACTGAACTCTGAGGAACACCGCAAGTTGCAAAAAAAAAAAAGAGTTTGGAGAAACTGTCGTCAATGCGAACAGTGTTAGAGCGCAAAAACAGATCACTGTCAAAACATTCACACAGCTCATCACACACTCCGTATGAAAACAGCTTGCGAAATAGTAACAGATGACTAACTTTGTGAAACGCTTTAGTTATATCGAAGTATATTAAATCAACTTGTCCTCTATTCATTACGATTGGCGCAGAAAATTCTAAGAAACGAACACTAATGAGACTAGACAGACCGACCACTCATGAAACCTTGCTGTAAAGGGGTTATTTTCTGGCGGGTATGAAAAAGCATTTCCGTACAAATAACAAGCTGGAAAATCTTTGAAAAACCACAAAGCAAGGAAATTGGGCGATAATTTAAAACAATTTAAAGCCCGCTCTTTAAAATCGGAACAATCACCGATTTCTGCTAAAGTGACGGAGGACCTAGAACTGAGTGAAAGATTAAATATATTTCAGAATCGGAATGAACAGTTCACTGCAACCTTTGATAATAAAGCTGGGTATGTTATCAGCACCACTCAAAGAGTTAGGTTTCAGCTTCCTAATCGCTTTGGCGATTTCACCGGAATCTACACGCAGGGAACATAAATCGCTATGACTGTTTTTCAGTTCGTCGCCACGCTGTAAAGACTGCTGTAGAACATTTGTTAAAATAATCATCGAAAATATTTGCAACATCAGCAAGTGAAGACTGATAACTAGGAGCATGATCTGTCCCAACACGCAAACAGATGCTACGATCGATCTCACGCGTGTACTGTTTAACCAATTTCCAAATTGTTTTTGGTCGACGGTTTAAGCTGTTTTCTATACTATCCTGGTGTAGACGCTTATCACGCTTAGACAGCTTTTTATACTAGGGAACGGAATATGCCGAATTTGGCATACCAAAGAAAAGAACGGGACTTTCTAAAAAGTTGGTGAAAAGGACCTTTTTTTCCGTAGGCTGACTCGGAACTCCTTAGAAAACCAAGTAATAAATATCGACGGCTTATTGGAGCATTTAGGTACACCTCTGGTCAATAGAACTTTTTACAACTCACGTAAGCGTCTCGGTAGCATGTTCAACAATACACATAAAAAAAGCACTGTCCCAGTGAAAATCTTCAATATGTCTATGAAGGCTCAAATAATCACGTCTAGAAAAGCAGTAATTTGGTGATTTACACAATGCAGGCGGCTTGTATCGGAGAGAAACCTCGACAACAAAAGGTAGATGGAAACCATCAATTTGTACCAAGGGAATCGGGGCCTAAACTTAAGATAGGCGTATTAGAAAGAACAAGATGTAGAACATTTCCAACCTTGTTTCGAATCGTAATGTGCTGTTCAAGAGCGCAAAAGCTTTTAAAATAAAACAAAGAAAATGCCTTGATAGACGTTATAGAGTTACTATTTACAGTTTGCATTGACCAATCCGCACCAGGTAGATTAAAATCGCCGTAGATTTGGACACGGCACTTCTTGAAATTAATTTGCTTACTGATTGCGTCAAAATGCTTAATGAATACCGTCTGATCTGAAAGAGATGGAAAATATTACGTACAAATTAAAAAATTAAAACCGTCACTCGCCTTGATTTCCACCCAAACGCATTCTGAATATGATTCAAGGTCGTACCATCTCTGCGAGACAAGGGAGGCCTCCACGGCGATTATGACAAGATAGGCCTAGGTTCTGCCCGGTGTAAAAATAATATACTGCACGTTGGAATAATATAATTTGCATCAGGGATTCTGCTACAGAGCAGAGTTCCAGAAAGTTAAACGATAGCATGTTCTGAAATAAATAAATTAGACATAAACTCGTCTGCCTTCGTACGTAGACCTCTTACATTTTTATATAAAAAAACAACCTTAACTGCGCTCGACATTTTCATTGTCTATTGGGTTAACCGAGTCAACATGAGAGAGGTCGAGCCGTTCAAAAAACTGGTGAAAGATGCTGCCATCCGGCCAGACTTGAGGACTTTTCATTGCGCTAAATACTGACTCATCACCTGACAACAGAAATGAAGAGTACGTATCACATTTTGTCATCACTTCGAGCAAATGACCGACTATCCTTCCAAGAAGGGCCTGATTAGCGCGAGAACATCAGGTAAACTTGTGACAGGATGAAGCCTAGAGACAAACAGCGCAAAACGGCGTGCACTCCGAGAAACAGCAGTCACCTCGTTCGGTTTAACGGTTCCAAGTGACGGCTTGGTTCGTCGTCGGGGTCCCACCAGTTTGAAACCGTCGTCCTCGGCGTTCTCAGTGTTCGCAAGAGCAGCATTCGTGGACAGCGATTCCCGGTTCACGCTGCCAGGCGTCGGACGACCTAACGCTTCAGGAGGCACGTTGCGTGAAAATGGAACAGTTGCAGTAAACGGCGCTGTCGTCGATGCAACAGACGACTCCGGGCAACGACGGAAGCATAAGAAGTCGGCGGAAGTGACGGCAGCCGCTCCTTTTCCATGAAGTTCTTACGTAATTGTTGAATCTCGGAGCGAATACGGCAGTTCTCAACGTTGAGGCACTAGACCTTAGCCGTTAGCACGTCAAGCTTGTTCGACAGGCTTCCGAAGATGCGTAGGAGACCGGGAGGAACGAAGTTTGCATCCAGCCCGTCCGCTGGCTGGTCCAACAGTTCAGACGCAGGAACCGACCCGCCCAAAGAAGCATTCGTGCTGTTATTGCTCGGTGACATGCCGCATGCTCTGGTAGAGCCAGAGCACTTGAAAGTGCTCTTGCCGCTTTGCGTGTAGATGTCGTATTCTTCATGGCCAACGTTGAGGCACTTGCAATTGAAATGCCGATTGCCGCCAGCCAAACAGACAAGGAACAGCTGCCTCCCGCAGAAGCGGAGAGCGCACAAGCCACAAACGTCTTTTTCCAGAGCTCCTTCAGACACGACTTTCACCGGCGGCGTCATTCCGCATATCGACGCCGCCGGTTCTGTTGCTCATTGAAAGAAGCCGGTTTCCGTCCTGGTCCTCGATGTTTTATTCTTTTAAGTTTTCGTATCAATTTAACAACACGCTCGTTTTCAATTATTCTACAATTAAGCTTAAACAAGCACATAATACTATCAATCTTATTTATTTTTTAACATTTATGCACCACTAC